GATAAAATATCAGTGAATTCGTTCAAAAATTGATATTGTAATTTATGTTTATTATTATTTGACCTTAAAAGGAAGGAGCTATAAAATTACTGAAGTTAATGCATGGTCTGTGATAAATGTTAGTTTTATTCATATTTGGTATTGTCTAAAATGTATGAAAGAAATATTTTTCCATTCATCACAGTTCGATTTTGATCGTTTTATGAAAAATACTTACTACATCGTTAACTTTATTTATATTCAAACAAAATACACTTATGGTTAAATTATAATTATTGATCTTATTTATCCTCGTACCTATACACAAGTTGTTGAGACATTTGTGTTTCAAAATCTGAGGCCATTTACACATACCTACCTTACGAATCGTAGCACGAAATTATTATTATTCCTGGTATATATACGTAGGAATTCTAACCATGTAAATTGTATTTATGAGTTTTTACCTTTTAGACTCCCGTAAATTTAATCATAAATTACGTAGTATGTCAACACAGAGCAGATATTGTGTTTTAAAATGCTATTCACATAATAATGCCCACAGTTAGCCGTAATATTCTTTTTATGAAACGCTTGCGTTTTATCATAGTTCAAATATACAAGTTACAATTCTCGGGAAATGCAAATATTCAATGATGTTATCAACCACTTAAAAGCTTAACAAATTTATAAATCTACTAGCAACCCATTACGGTTAGACCGGCACGTGGGACGTGATTATTCTGTGTACCATAACTCGTTAAAAACACAAGCGCCCTCGTTTTCTATACAATTTTAATGAGCACTCGCAGGACGCAATGATTTCTCGCCCGCGGTGGCTATTATAAGTTAAAACGCGACCAAATAAACAAAATTTATTTTTCGTTCCGTTTGGTAAATATTTGGCAAAACGACTTAAACGTTTTAGCGCAGCCATAACGATTCTCATCACGCCGTTTCTAATCAAAAGTAAACCGTAGTCGTTCTTAACTCCGTGACCAGACCGGAAATCGTGTTATTAAAGAAGCCCGAGTCATGTATTGTATTATTATTATTTTTTTTTATGTTTTCGTTGGTCATGATGGTATTTTTTCCTCGTCGTCTGCGAGTACGAATATATCACATCGGATGGTGATTCCGGCGTGCGGCGTTCACTTGTAAAAATAAGTGTGTAGAAAAAAGGGGAGGGGGACCAAAGTTAGAACCAACTAACGATGGTCAGTCTACACGCTGTAGAACTGAATCGTTTTGAGTCTTTTAATATATACAACGCGACACATATATGCATTTTATTTCATTCGTATATTTCTCATGTGAAATACTGTGTACATAATAATACACGAGTACTATAGGTACCTATACCTTTATATTATGTATGTATTCACCAGTTGGTTATATTGTCTCGCGGCGGAGTTTGAGGCTGTCGACTAATCCTTGAATACACACCAGTATTCGACACACGTCCCGCACTTACGCTGCATGTATGGGTTTATATATTATATCAATATATATATATATATAAATGAGTGATGATGAAATGACTTGTTTTTTCACCAGCAAAATTCTTTACGTGCCACTGCGCGTGGTATTGGTTTAGTGAACGGAATTTTAGTTGTCTAGCATAATATTATATAAAAGCGTGATAAAGAGTACTCAGAGTAGTTATCGTTCATTTTTAATGTAATCGACCAACGAAGCGGATACGACCTCAGACTGTGAAAATATCAGCAGTAGGCTGGTTCAACTTCCGGCATAAAATTTATACATTTATATTATTGTTATTTTTGGATAAAAAATAAATCTAATTTCGCCAAAGACTTAGGTATTCTCTTCAGTCCACTCTCGACTTTTTTTTCTTAGCGGTGGAGAGGTCCGTTACGTTAGGACCCCACAAATTTGTAAATTCATAAACATAAATTGTACAAACAATCGTTTTGTGGTGGTTAGCATATTATTATAGTTCTATGGTTACAATTTTGGTGGTAGAAATATTGTTTATGCATTTTTAATTTTAGATACTTAGTAATTAGCTCATTAGCATAGAATGTATTGGACTTATAGTGGAAGCGTTTAAACCATATTTTACTCGACGCACCCACACCCAAATGAATACATACCTAAACTTAAGTACCTACAGGTGGTTTCCTAAAAGAAGGGGATTGGACACAAAATATGAATATTTAAAAATTGATAAATCATAAACATATAAGGTATTTTCCTATTTTAGATATTGTCAAAGGATAAAGAGTATAACAATTGTTTTTATGTATGAACTAATAAACAAAAGTAGTATATTTGAAATAATATTTAGTGGGATATAGTCTGTATTGTTCAAACCTTGAGTCTACTCTCTTTTTTTACGCTGTGTATCACAACTACAGTAGTTTTATTTCCACTTATCTTACCTCTGTGTTAGGTTAGTTGGTATTTTGTTTATATTTTGAGATTATGTAACCGCTGCTATGATATTATAGTGGAATGGAATGTTATATGGATACTACATTATGATAATTGTGTATCACATATTCGCTCTTATTATATTTTGCTATTCGATATAAACATACATTTAATTTCAAGTTTCAATTTTAAATAATTTAATTTTATGCACTCAAGGAAAAAAAAAACAAAAAAAAAATTCAGTAAAAGTTGTATTTTTATTTGGAGTTCATAAATACATGACTGATCCAATCATACTCTTAGGATTTACTACATTGTGTGTGTGAAATTGACTGTAGTGAGATGGAGTTATTTAAGAAGAAAATCGATGAGAGAATTGAGACACGAGAATGGGAAAAAGTGGAAGTTGGAGATCCACCCTACGGTCCTTACATGACTATGACGCGAGTGATAAACATGACATTATTACACTCCGACGTGTATACAAATCATTGTCGCTTAATAAACTAAAGTCAGGAGAAAATCGTCTGTTTTTTGTCGGCATGGGACGCGAACTAATGGCGGATCGTGGCCAAACATGAGTAGAAAATATAACGACGAGAATCTCCACGCTAATATAAAGGCCCTCGAGGCACATTTATCGTATAATCCAGACAAAAGTCTTTGCGACAAAGAACGTTTCAATCAAATCGCGAATCCGTCGTCGAGTTTTGCGGACACGAGAGCCGAGATAGCTCAATCGGGGATTATCCTATGTACACTGTGTATTACGTATACCTAATATGTGTACGCCTGACGAGAAAATTAATTACCTCACCCGTCGTCCCATATGTACCTCTACTTGCCACCTGGCCAGGACTTAGACACGACGGACAGGGCGGACAGGACTCGGTCCGGCTTCTCGTAAAATATAATACGCAGAGATTTACAATAATATGGAACGAAAAGTAGTGACGGTGTCGTGTAGTTAAATCTTATACCCATGAATAATGTTACTGAGTAGCGGCGGGGTTAAGGTCTTCCTTGTCGTATTTTATCCCTGGCAAGTACAATATTTCCTATTACATTATTTAAGGCCGAGTTAAAAATATAGAAACTGGCAACAAAAATAAATCAAAATAGAATTTAATCAACAAATTGTTTTAAAAGAAATATTATCCTTTGAACAAATGGGAATTATATTTTTGATGGGCTTGGAAATAATGTGGTATAGCAAATTTCGATGTTCACCTATGAATTATGATAACATCAAGACAGTATATAGATAGGCAACACCATATTTTACTATTTTGTAAATATCTTGTAAATAAGATACGACGGGCCATTATCAAATTATCACTTATCCAAATCCTTATCATTACTGATTTTTTACTCTCATTTTATTTTCAAGACCAATAACTCCATAAATAATAGTCTTACCTCATCGTTGCATTATTTTGTTTGTACATCTTGACAGAATATATATTTATTTATAACTAAATTTTGTTAGTTCAAAAAAAATAACTTCGATGAAAAAAATATATAAACAACTAAAAGCTTCTATGTGTAGGAATAGTATTTGAAACATTAATCAATTCGGTTTAAAAATTTAATTTGACATCTGTTTTAATTTGTTTAAAAATAGTTGTTAATTATTTCCTAAGTTCATTAATTTTCTTGATCTATGTTTTATCGATATAATTCACATAGTTTTATCAATATAACTAAATAATAATGCAATTGTTAATATTATACATTTAATTCCATTTGTATTCAATAAATATTATTGATCCGTTTTTTGATTAGTTAAACAACAACTATTGAATATTTGAACAACTTTTATTAGTTGCAATAAAAAATAATAAACAAATGATATAAAATAATAAATATTATTATTTATTTATTTTTTTTTTTTTCATTGATCCTGAGCCCGGCAACTGAGGCCATTAGCTATTAGTAGGTACTGTAGGTTTTTTTGTATTGATGGTTTGTAGGTTTTTTGGAACGGTAGGGGGAACACGTGTGTGTTTGTTTTGGCAGAATTTCGAATGGGGCACCCGTAGGTTTCTGCCATGCCCCGGGGGTGGGGGATGGCAGCACTTGCTCTCCGGTCACCGCGAATTGTCCGGAGAAAAATGCCGCCCGGTGGCCGAGGATCGAACCTCGACCGGTTGCGTCGCAGCGGAAGAGTCAGACCACTCGGTCACCTCGTCCCCCATATATTATTATTATTAACCAATATTAATTGATAATCTGTAAGCCGGCGCACTGTGTATGCAATTTTAGTACACTGTTACGCTAGTGAACGTCAGAGGAGGCGTTAGTTAGCACATTATATAAAACTAAAAACGAATCAAATACAAATTGCATTTTGGTCTTTTTTCTTTTATCTTTTTCTTTTATGTCAACTCTTGTTTTCCGTCCACTTGAGCCCACTTACGTCACCAGGGACGAGTAGAACGTGAACATTAATTTCTACTGACACTGACGGGGAAATCGTAACTCGTTTGTCAAGTACAATGTCGTTTTATTGCGCACAACGACGACCGTGACGTTTACACTCACCCCTTCTTGTAACTTACGATTTAATTCGAAAAAAAAATTGTCACTCGTATAAGGAAAACAAATTAAAATGGTATATTTACCTGTTCGGCCGTCTTTGTAACGAACAGATGACAGTACTGTTTGTTGATATGACCACCCGGTTGTCTTGCCAGGAAACAAAACTGTTTACAACCAGGATCACACGTAGCGTACGAAACTCTCCTGAGTCCGTGAGCCATTAAAACTTCCTGAAATGAGAATTGGAAAAAAAAATATTAAAAAAAACCCATTACGTTTTTTTTTGTTTTCATCAAAAAGGGTTGCAGATTAGCTAGGTAGGTAGTGTCCGGAAGTGAAACGAGTGGGTTGATTCTGCCACAGGAAATGAATTAATTTCCTGTTGTCGTTGATAATACCAATGCGATTGAAAACCTTGCCGAGTAGCTGGAGAAATTGAATTTGAAGACATTTTCATTTCCTCGTACTCTTGCGCGTTCATCCCAGCAGTTTCCGACGTATACCGCACACTGGGCGTATTACCCGCAAATAAGTTATATATTGTATACGTCGTATTACATGTTTAAATTTTATACGGAATATGTTCGCTGTTGAGGTTCTAATTCAATTTATAATAGTATAATACTGACAAAACAGCAATGTGATTCACCAATCAGCAGTCGCCAAGTATAATAATTTCAATATTATATAATGAACTGATTTCATCATAACTATATATACGACTTGTTTGTAGCATAATTTATGTTGAAACTCAAAAGTATGTGGTTGTGTAATATTTTTAACTATGATTTTTGTAGTATGTTAAAAATAAAATTAACATGCTTATTAAGTAAAAAAATATGTTATTTAATTAAACGCTTATTTCTAGGTAATTTAGTTGAACCTGTTTGTATTTAATCAAATAATTTTTTAATTACACCAACTGTTTGTGTACATATTTTGTTTTCAAATATTGAAGGGTATGTATATTATTTCATAAGTAATTCTGCTGCTGCCAGGAAAACAATATTTAGAACTTTGTGTGACATAAGAGTAGGTATTGTACGAGGTTAAGAAATTATACAAAATATATTAATTATAAACAATATAATTAAAATATTTTAATCTTTTAGATAAGCACAATAATTATGTTTCATTCAATAATAATTTATAAAGCCGTTGTTTGAACTATAAATTATAAAATACATTTTACGTTAAAGTATTTATCTAGTTGGGGATAATTAAGTGCATTTGTGTGCTATGTTAAGTGTACAGATACATGCATTTTTCAGGAACCACATTTGAAATGTAGTACTAAATATTCAAAATAAAATTATTCCAAAATATATTAAAAAAAATATTTAATTACTTGTAAAGAAAATCAAAGAGAACAATATAATCCTTAATAAAATTTAATTGCTTTTAATGTTAACATATATGTATGCTTAAACATCGATTTTATGATTTTATTACAAAACCCGTCGTGATACTGATACACGAAAATGTTGTGTAAGTACTGACTTTAACGAAACTTCATTATAATTACTCAGATAATGAAAATATTTATTACTGAAATTTTTTTAATTAAACGGCATAGAGAGCATTATAATCGTTATTTTTTGCGAGGGTTGACTGATTCATAAAATACGACCCTCAACCGACGAATAAATCATGTTTGTTATTTAAAAAAAAATGCTCGAAGTCCGTACATATATCCCCGCCAGTAAAAATAACTATATATGCATAATATATCGATGCTCTCACCCACAGAGTACGATTACATCGTGGCATCGAACTAAATATTAATTAATATTTGCTAAAAACTATGTCAAAAATTTGAATCACGTAAATGAAGAGAGTAAAAAACATGGCTCCCCTAGCCACGATATGCCAGGATATGTTTTGCATTTATTCAAACAAACGAAAAAATGTACAGCAGTTATGTGGAGAATATAATACACCCTACCAGTGCAGCGTTGTTGCAGTCATTTTATGTAGTCATCGAAGTTGTTTTTTTTAGCTTAAAAAATAAAATAACTCTTCCGTTCTATATAATGTATTTATTATATGTATATAATACAACATCACCAAGAATACTTATAGGTAGGCAAGTAAAGTATTTTGTTTTATATTTTCCCCCTAGATTTAATGCCATTGTGAAAAACGTAAAAATACATCTTACATTTTTCATTCGTTTTAATACTAATTGATTTATAATATAAATATTCATTGGGGGTGATTTTTGATATTATATTACCCTTTATCCTTTTCTTGACGAATTCGATATTGTGTGTAAAATGAATCTATTATACTAGCAAACTGAATCAAACTAATCAAAATAAGTTTTTCCAAAAATACGATATTTTTATAATAATAAAAAGTTGACTTAAAAACAACAACAATGATATCACCTTATCAGCTATTACATAATTCTAAAAATAATGTTAATTACTTATTAAATCATTAATTTTCAGAAGCATATTTTAGCCATATTCGATTTTGAGAGCCATCTTGTCGATTAGTTTTACTGATATTGTGTTTTTTAAAATAAAACATTTCAAAAAGTTCTATGTTATTTTGATGTACTCAAATAAACTTAGTGCGCTTGATGACATAGATTGAATAATATTTTATATACAACATAAAAAAAAGTATGCCAATGTGGGCAATAAGATCGGAATTATTTTTGTTTCCTGTGATGGTCACCGATCACTCGGTCATTTGGTAATATGATATGAATACATTCTTGGCGCGCACAGACGGATGCGATATCATTCTGTCCGTCTAGATCGTCATTTTAAGCATATTTTGGTTTCTTGAGTTTTCAGACCCAAATAGCTAACATACCAGTCTGGCTGGTTGCGGGGCGGGTCGAACTTAAAAAAATCAGGCAAAAGGAATGTGTTCCCGGAAATGAATGGCCGTCTTTCGTACAAAAGCTGGTACTGAAAAATCAATCGTTTGCATAAATTGTCTACAAAATTATCTCAAATTAATATGACATTTATCGGGCTTATGTACATAATATACTCGGACATGGTAATATAATGTACATAAAAATAATATTTTCAGTGATTAACGAATAAAAGTGTAAGAAAGAGAATTTAAATTTAAGATTTGATGTAAATAATATAATTATTGTGAATTATAGAAGTTATAAATCGACTTATAAATTATAATAGAATCAAAAGTCATAACTTTTTATACTTCTTGTCTATTCTGTCCAAAGGGTTTTCGCTAAGCGAATTTTACCCTCGAGTATAAAACGATCATTCTTAAAGGATTCAAACACTCAAGACGTCTACACTCACTATTCCCTCTTTTTCTGTCCGTCTACCTCTCTCTCCCACAATAAAGCATATACTCGTGTGCCGTCTAGCCTCTCACGTTTTGCCTCTACTGTCGTTCCGTCGCTCAAATTTATGATAAAAAACGCATCGCAACAATAACAAAATATATGTAACGCAAAGGATTTTCGTGGACATCGAATTTCGATACGTGCAGACGTTTCTATAATAAAAATAATAATAATATACAAACACGCGAGAGGAGCTTAAGAAAAACGCCAGTTCCTGTGTAACACGGCCATACATTATTCATGTATACGGATTGTTGTCGCGTGGTAAACTTGCGTATACAAATAAATACATATTATACAGCATACACAGAATGCGATTTATATCCGTCCTCGCCCCCGTGTCATCTCGGCCGCTGATGAAGCGGTGAAGTGGAAAATGAGTTAAAAAAATACCTACATTTTTATACACTCGAGGACAGGAGGGGCAAGGCGACGGTAGGGAGAACAAAATGGGGATAAAATATGTGCTGGTCTGAATATTCTCAGACGCGGATGGTCTATTATAATATGTGACACAAGCATCAGCAGCAGAAGGGTTAGGTCGCGAGAATCGGAAAAACACACACACACCTACACACATTATAAACTCGTGTAGTAGTAATAGCTACCGCCAATGCTACTACCGGTATAACGTTGAATGGTCTTGGGGGCGCGTGTGAAGGATTTCAACTGTTGTAAAATATAATATGTGTGTATACAGGGTGGTTAGTCAAGCACGCTAGCCCTCATTGTAGGTATCTCTTATTAATTATGCATTTATTCAAATTCTGATTTTCGGAATTTTCAAGTACACTTAATCGTGTAATTTGACGCTTTCAAATACTTGTGGTTATGATGATTGGAAAATCATAGTTATCGATATTATTTGATTAGCATTTTATAATTTATAAAAATATTCAGAGTGTAATGATTAATGGCTAATGAGTATTGGACAAAAATAATATCTATTTTGTATATTATGTACAACTCTATAGCCCTAAGCTTGTAAGCCTCAGTTATTCAGAAACTTTATATTAGTTATTAAACTACCTTAGTTATTCTAATGTCAATTTAGATATCTACGTCGATAATAACACTTTCGAGAAAATCACCAATGATTTACAGTAAAAGATAAGGTTCTCTACTTCTCTCAATATTGAAACAAAGAAGATTCCATAGCCGTGGGACACTTCATGAACGTCACGGAAAAGGTCAGAATTTCAAAGAGTACCTATACATAATTAATAAGGATGAAAAAGGGTTGCAAAAATGCTCAGTGAATGCACCCTGTATAATATTATATTTACGTCACTGCTGGTTTCGTCGAGGGGAACGTCTGAGAGATAATTTCAATCGGAACAAAAACGTACCTACCTACATGCAATATTATATATTAAATTCACGTCGCATAATATATAATAATAATAATAATAATAATAATATGTAGGTATACCGCAGGATTGCACTCACGCGTATAATAATAATATGTATATGTTACACGTATTGTATGCAATGTATAATATTCAATTTGACGAACAAAACCACGTGGTTCTGTCGTAATGCCGTACGGATTTCGCCTCGGCAAATACAATATTTTCAATTCCCGTACGTAGGTAGTCGAGACTATTAGATTCGCCGTCGTTGCAGGAGTCATTGACAATTCAGAGTTTTTCCACGAAAGTCTTTACATGCTGTTTATCGTTCCGTCACACACAGAGTTGTCATATTAGCCCTTTACGTTTTTAACTTTTTTTTACTCAGGGCTCGTAATACTTGTATGTACTGGTATATTCGTATTGCAAAATAATAATAATAATGATGCGTACAATTATTATTATGTACCTAACGTTTATGGTATAAAATATTATATTCGATACACAATGATATCCAAGTTGTGTTTTGTTACTTTTCTGC